GGCTTTTGTCACCAAGTGATAGCCTATCTCCTTGTGTCAGGGCCCCCAGGCGTCAGTGACAACTGCCAAGTAGGGAGGGTGGCTTCTCTCACAAGTCAGATGTAGGTGGACCAGGCCTGTGCCCAGCAGAGAGGGGTCAGCCACATAATGGGGCACCCCTTGTGTACAGAGCACCGCTGGGACAAGCAACATCAGCTCCCTGTGCATCAGTTTCCTCATATGTGAAATAGGAACATATAATAGAGGTCCTTCAAAAGGTTATGAGGTTTGAATGAGTTAATTAATTACTACTTCTAAAGTTCTAGAATGCTGCTGGGCACGGCGATGTTCAGTGAACACCAGCTCTTATTCCAGAGCACTGGCTGGGTACCCATGTCGGTGGAGATGGAGGTAAAAAAATAATATGTTCCGGCCGGGCACGGTGGCTCACACCTGGAATCCCAGCACTTTGGGAGGCCGAGGGGGGTGGATCACAAGGTCAAGAGATCAAGACCATCCTGGCCAACATGGTGAAACAGCATCTCTACTAAACATGCAGTCCCAGCTACTTGGGAGACTGAGGCAGGAGAATCACTTGTACTTGGGAGGCGGAGGTTGCAGTGAGCAGAGATTACGCCACTTCACTCCAGCCTGGTGACAGAGCGAGACTCTGTTTCAAAAAGAAAAAAAAAAAAGAAAGAAAAAAAACGAATAACATGTTCCAATATGAATTCATTTTCTCTCCTCTTCCTCTCCCAAATCCTTTTCCCATTAGTGACTTCACCTCTCTCTTAGGTTCCCAGACCAAAATCCTCAGCCACCTTAATTCTGCCCCACTGGTGACAAAGTCTGACTATTCTTCCTCTAAAATGTCTTGCAAATCTGTTTTCTCATGTCCTGCCCCAGCTCTGGCTCCTGGTGGGAGCTCCCAACAGGTTTGGGGCCTCCTCTCTCTTGTCTTTATATCTTATCCTTCACACACTCTGAGTCCAACTCCTTTCCCCTATACCCCATTCCGAAGATGAACTGCACATGCTCTGGAACCCTCGGTGGCTCCCCACTACCCCAGGAGGAAATCTCCTCTCCTTGGCCTGACAGCTAAGATCTTTTAGCACTTGACCCTGTCCTACCAGAATGGTGTTATGATTGTAAGCTGGGTTCCAGGTCAGTTCCTCTGCTTCCTTGACTATGGAGCACCTGGACAGGTGACTTAACCACCCTAAACCTCAGTCTTCACTTAATAAACGGAGAAAACTGTCATGGTAGCCTTGGAAGAGTTGTTCAAGTGAAACTAGATAATTGTGATACTAATGATAGCAGCTAACATTTATCGTGTGCTTATCCTGTTCCAAGCGCCGTCTGCGTGGTTACTCATGCAGTGAGCAGAAATGGCTTTGCATGGCACCAGGCATGGAGTACATGTACTCTGTGTGTGTGTGTATGAGTGTGTGTGTATGTGAATGAGTGTGTGTATGCGTGTGTGTATGTGAATGAGTGTGTATGAGTGTGTGTATGTGAATGAGTGTGTGTATGTGAATGAGTGTGTGTGTATGATTGTGTGTATGTGAATGAGTGTGTGTATCAGTGTGTGTATGTGAATGAGTGTGTATGAGAGTGTGTGTATGTGTGTGTGAATGAGTGTGTGTGTATGATTGTGTGTGTATGTGAATGAGCGTGTGTATGTGTATGTGAATGAGTGTGTGTATGATTGTGTGTGTATGTGAATGAGTGTGTGAGTGTGTGTATGTGAATGAGTGTATGTGTGTATGTGTGTGTATGAGTGTGTATGTGTATGCATATGAGTGTGTGTATGTGTGTTTATGTGTCTGTGTGAGTGTGTACGAGTGTGTGTATGTGTGTGTGAGTTTGTATGAGTGTGTGTGTGTATATGAGTATGAGTGTATATGAGTGTGTGTGTATGAGTGTGTGTGGTTATTACTGGCTGTCTTCCTGGCTTCATTTCCTACCCCGGCCCCCACCTCACCCTCCAGCCCATCATTCAGGGCTCTTGGGGACAGCTGCTCTGAGCTAGTGGAGTACAAGCTATCATGTATTGAGTGCTCCAGGGGACTGGGGGAGGCAGCCTGCCTGCCATGGCCACCACCCAGCCACGGCACAGCTCGCCAAATTGAAGTCCCAAAAGAAATCAAATCGTCATCATCCTCCCTCCCTAGAGCTCCCTGCATGTCACACACTGAGCCATGTGTCTTACCCACCATGTGATTTAATTCTCACAACACTTTGAGGAAGGTACTAATATTAGACCCATTTTCCAGATGAGGAAACTGAGGCTCAGAGAGGAGCAGTCACTCCCCAAGTCCCCACTGCTAGCACCTGGTAGCGCTGGGCTTTGACCCCAGATTGTTCGTCTCCTCCGTACACGCTTTTCCTCCCTGTGGTATTCTGGTTTCAGAGCCAGGGGATCCAGCCCCAGCTCTCACTGCCCTCCAGGATCCCAGAGCACGGGGCCACTAGCCTCAAGCATCCAGACAGTCCTTCAGTGGCTTCCTTGTCCCTGGTATTTTTAGCCCTCGGTCATCTGTCTTGCCTGCACTGGGGACAGAGGCAACCAAACAATCCCATTTTTACTGGTGCCCTTCAGATGCCCGTGGGCTCAGCTGTCTCGGTGCCTGGCATTCCGGGGGCATTGTTCCTCTCTATGAGGCCCAGATTCCAGCAACAGCTGCTGCCCTGGCCACCCCCACCAGCTTTCCCCTGCCCGCCTGCCAGAGCCCCCTTGCTGAAGAACGTGGCACAGGGCCAGCCAAACCTGGTCCCGCATGCCTGGGCCTGGAGCTATATAAAGGCCACACTCCTGGCTCATTAGTCATCCGACCTGAGGTTGTTGGGTGAAGGGCCTTTCAACGAGCCTTCAGCACACACCCAGCTCTGCAGGCCCCTGCCCCTCCCTGGCACACATGCAGGCGTCAGTGGGGCTTCCATTCTGGGGTAGCACGCTCAGTCTGGGCTCTATGGACGTTTGGGGCTGGACAATTCTTTGTAATGGCAGAGGAGGGTGTCCCATGCGTCACAGGATGTCCAGCCTCATCCTTGGCCCCCAGCCAGTAGCAGCCATTAGCAACCCCCTCTCCCAAATCGTGACATCCAGAAATGTCCTTGACATGGCAACCGTCCTGAGAGGCATACGTTATCCCAATTTCAGCCCCATCGACCTACACAACAACTCCTAGGAAGGAAGAGACAGGTTCCCTGCTAGCAGAGCTGGAGGATGGTTTAGGGGTGCCTGAGTCCTCCGACCTCCTGAGGTCTCCTGGCTGGGGGCTTTGGGGAAGAAGGGACATTTGGGGTTAGGACTAGGCTAGAATGTCACCTCTGCTGCTTGCTGGCCAGATGACAGAGGTCCAGTGGCGTTCCTGGGTCCCATTTCCATTAAATTGCATTGGATGGGAACACTGACCTCATGCGGGTGCTGTGAGGCCGGCTCGAGATCACATTAAGCAAAACACAGCTTCCTTCTTCATAATTCTGCTCTGGGGAGTGGGGTGGAGGGAATCTGTGCTTGTTCTCAGATGAAAAGTCAGGATTTTTCTGCTCACTCTTAGGGAAAAGGAGAACCCTAAGGTCATTGAGTCCAAATAGTCTTTTTTTTTTTGAGAGAGGGTCTTGCTCTGCCACCCAGGCTGGAGTGCATTTTTGCCATGTCATCTCACTGCAACCTCTGCCTCCTGGGCTCAAGCAATCCTTCCGTATCAGTCTTCCAAGTGCGAAGACTGCAGGCATGTACCACCATGCCCAGCTAATGTTTGTATTTTTTGTAGACATGGGGTCTTGCTATGTTGCCCAGGTTGATCTCCTGAGCTCTTCTGGGCTCAAGTGATCTGCCCTCCTTAGCCTCCCAAAGTGCTGGGATTACAGGCGTGAACCACCACTCCCGGCCCCAAATTGTCTTAATTCAGTGTGTAGAATGCCCAGCCCCAAGTGGCCGTCATAATTCAGAACTCCGCATTTGAGTGTTCACACCTAGTCTTCAGGCCTGCGGTGAGCACACAGCCACCCAGGGCCACACCCCGACGCCCACTCTCCTGGTCGGTGCTTTCACCCTTGCCACATGGCAGCCAGAAGGACATTAAAGAAATGAAAAAAACACCCAGCTCAGTCATCACCACCTACACCTTTTTTTTTTTTTTTTGAGACTAATATTCTGTCACTCAGGATGAACCTCCACCTCCCAGGTTCAAGTGATTCTTCTGCCTCAGTCTCCCGAGTAGCTGGGATTACAGGTGTGTACCACCACGCCTGGCTAATTTTTGTATTTTTAGTAGAGACAGGTTTCACCATGTTGGCGGGGCTGGTCTCGAACTCCAACCTAAGGTAACCTGCCTGCCTGGGCCTCCCAAAGCACTGAGATTACAGGCATGAGCCACCGCACCCAGCCACCCTCATGTTTAAAAGGCTGCCCACTCTCCCAGGATGCAGACTCTTCCATCTGCCTGAACCGCCCCCTGCCCCTCTTTGTCTGGATGGGGGTTTATCACCTTGGGCACGGTGACATTGGGCCAGGTCATTCTTTGCTGTGGGGCTGTCCTGTGTCTCAGAAGATGTGGAACAGCATCACTGGCCTCTGCCCACAAGATGCCACCCAGTCATGACAGCCAAAGACATCTCCAGACATTGCCATGTGTCCCCTGGGGGTGGGGGCAAAACTGCCCCAACTTGAGAACCACTGGTCTGGTGAACTTTTGTTCATACTTCCCCAATCTCCAGACCCGGCCCCACCAAGCGCTGCGTTCCTTTCTCCCTCACAGTGTTGAGCCACAGCTTCATTCTATTTTTTTTGGTCTGATTAGCTGATGAACACCCAGCTTTCTGCTCAGACCATAACTCTACGGGGCAGGCACCATGCCTATCTTGCCCACTGCTGCTTCTCCCGCACCCAGCCCAGCGCCTGGCACATAGCGGGCACTGCGTCAGCCCTTGCCAAATGGCTGCTCTCATATGGCACTTCCTGCATTCTGCCTCATTGCTGTTATTCTGTTTCTTCCACTAGAAGGGGCCTCGGTCCTGGCACGCAGTGGGTGATCGTGATAGACTTGTCCCATGGAACTGAATTCCGTCAGGACCAAAGATGATCCTGGAGTCGATCCAGGACACAGGCAGGAAGGGCCTGAACAACCCTGCGCTGTGTCTCCAGGGCTGAAGACATTGATCCTTGCACACCCACCCTGCTTGCCCAGGGCTCTCCAGGACAGCTAGGTCCCCTCTGGCTAAGAGAGAATGAGGGTGTCAGCCCTCAGGAAACAATTCCTGAGGTGAGTGTGAACTTTACTCTTTAGCCCCTGTCTTCAACCACGTCATAGAGGTCCTGACCTTTCAGCTTATCTCCCCTGCCAACTCCACTCAGTAAGAAAGAGTGCGGTGATTGATTAGCAATGTCTGCCATGGACTGGGTGAAGGAAGGGTGGCATGCATGTCATTGCCTCGTGCTATGTATTTGCTATTCCTCCTTTGTAGGTGTCCTCTGAGACAGAAAGAAAGTTCTAGGGTGATGTGTGGTGAAGAGAATCGGAGAGACTTTTGGGGTTGGGACACACAGTAAAACAGTTTCATTTCCCCCAGGAAAAGCCAGCCAGAAAAAAATTAGACCGGCCCTGTTCTCTTGGGTGACTTTGGACAAGGGAACAGGAGCCCGAGGGATTAAGGGGGAGGGTGTGCTAATACCACTGTATCCTCGTAGGGGGCCAGGGCATTTCACAAAGGACAAAAATAGACAGGAGAGAGGAGAAAGACAAAGAGATGGCTCATGGAATCCTTTCAGGAATGAAGGTGTGTGGCCAGCAAGGGCCTCGGAGGTGAGTCATGGTTTTACAAAGGGAACAGCCCCAGGGAGGGGTATGGGCTGCCTGGTACAATGCCCAGACACTGTCCTCAAGGTGAAACAGAGAATATGTAGACGAATGGAGAAAACCAGGATGATTTTAATTCGGAACAGAGGACTGGGACTCTGGGGCCGTGAGGAATGTTCTGGGATGTAGGTGATGGGAATCTATTAGCAGCAGCCTAATCCAACGGGGGTTCGTTTTCTCCTAAGGAGTGGTGGAACAGGCAGTTTCAGGGTTGTTCAGCAGCTGGACGTGATCGTGGACCCCAGAGCTGTCTCGGTGACTCTGTGGGTGTTCCCCATTGGTGGCAGCAGAGCCAAGGGTCCTGTCCTCATGGCACTACATCCAAAGCAAGGGCTGTGGGGGTGTCACTGGGGGTAGGGTAGGGGTCACGTGCTGGTGTTTCTTTACTGCTCAGGGAGAACAATATCTTCATGGGGAAGCTCCTAGGAGACAGACTTTTCATACATTTCACTGGCCAGAACAAGGTAAGGTGCCCACATCTAGACCAAGTCTGGCCTACCTGCTTTGAGATCCAAGGTTCTTTGGCCTAATCCTGAACATAACCAGAATTCTATTGGCAAGAAAAAAGACAGCAAATGGACTTGGGGCAGGCAATGAATAATGTCTGCTCCACCCACACCCCCAATAACTGAAGTCATATTTCCCCAATATATATGGTGGTGCACACAATGTCCTTCAACAAAACGTTTCTATAGGCCAGGCGTGGTGGCTCAGGTCTGTGATCCCAGCACTTTGGGAGCTGGAGGTGGGTGGATCATTTGAGGTCAGGAGTTCAAGACCTAGCCTGGCCAACATGGTGAAACCCCATCTCTACTAAAAATACAAACATTAGCCAGGCGTGGTAGCACTCGTCTGTAATCCCAGCTACTCGGGAGGCTGAGGCAGAAGAAGCTCTTGAACCTGGAGGCCGAGGTTGCAGTGAGCCGAGATCACACCATTGCATTCTAGCCTGGGCAACAGAGCAAGTCTCTGTCTCAAAAAAAAAACAACAACAAAAAACGTCTATAGCCAGAGAGTGAGTCCAGCTCAATAGGTTCCCCAGTTGCAGATCTTCTCAGAGCCTTTAACAGTAATGATGACTGCTTATTGACTATTTGCCAGGCGCTTCGTCCATAGCTACATCTCTATTATCTCATTAAATCCTTATAATAACTCTAAGGGACAGAGGAGGTAGAAACTAAGAAGGGGGCAGAGTCAGGATTCGAACCCAGGACTCTGATTCTAGACTCCTATGTTGTCCTTGTACTACAGAGCAAACATCTATGAAAGGGACAAGTTATTCCTCTCTGGGGAGATGTTGAATTAAGATGAAGAGCCTAGAAACGTCCAGCTTCTCTCTTGCTATTCCTTTCTCCCGGTGGACTGCCGGGGCTCCTGGGAGAGGATTTCCAATTAAATCTCATGTCTTCAGTATGGATTCCCAAAACTGAAGTCTGCTCTTTTATTTTTTCTTCTTTTTTTGTAACACCTTGGTTTTCTCTTTCAGGGCACTTACCTTAGTTTTTAGTTAGATGTTTCCATTTATTCCTGCATTAGGCACTTGTCTCTTTTACTGTAACATTGGCTCCTTAAAGACTGAGGATTTTGTCTTTTTTGCTGCTGTAGCCCCAGCACCCAGAACCGTGCCTGGCACACAGTAAATGCACAGTAAAAATGTTGAGTCAATGAACAATCTTGACTTGGCTAATTGATAGGGTTTGGCTCTGTGTCCCCACCCAAATTTCATCTCCAATTGTAATCCCCACGTGTCGGGGGAGGGGGCTGGGGGAGGTGATTGTATCATGGGGCAGACCTCCCCTCCCCCGTGCTGTTCTCATGAGAGCGCTGGCTGCTTCTCTCTCGGTCTCTCCAGCCACCTTGGGAAGTAGATGCTGCCTTCCCCTTCGCCTTCTACCATGATTGTAAGTTTCCCGAGGCCTCCTAGCCACACCACCGGTTAAACTGTGAGTCCATAAAACCTCTTTTCTTCATAAACGCCGCAGTCTCAGGTGGTTCTTTATAGCAGTGTGAAAACGGACTAATACACCCACACATTTCTTCTTTCTGAAACTGCATGTGCACGTTTGTTGACCGTCTGGGTAAAAACTTGGTTTGAAATTCTGGTTTTGTGGGGTGGATTTGATAAAGGATACGTGCTAACCACAAAACCTGCAAGGAAACCCAGGGAAGTTTCCTTGGGAACTCCCAGAAGTTCCAAATCGAGATCCATGAGAATTGGGCTTGAATTGCAGCTGACTTCTATCAGGGTCACTCTTGGCCTTAACAGGAGAAACCCATCCATTTCGAGAGGTGGACTCTGCTTGAATCCGGGACCTGCAGCTGAGAGAATGGGCTCCATTTTTTTCTTGGCTCCTCTTCCTTTCTGAAAAGGCCTCCCACAGACCTATCTGGCTGCTTCACCCCCAGTGACCTTTCCATCTTCTTCCTTTCCAAATTTCCAGGTGTAATTGTTTGAAATGCATCTGGCCCAAGGGCTGAGCGTCCGCACTGCAGTTCTCCAAATTGCCCAGCAGGGGGCGGTGCTACTTTAGGGCTCCGCGAAGCCTCGGCTTTCCGCTGGCAAAGGAATCTGGAGAGAGCGAGGGACATCTTTCCCCCCACCTGTCCCCCGCCAGGCCAGCCAGACCCGTCTCATCCGTGCCACTGCTTCTGAAAATCAGAAGAGTGAGGATGGAACAAAGTCTTCAGAAAGGAAAACCATTTGCTTGTTTAGATTTCATTCATTCATTCATTACTCAAATTTATTTACTGTGCTCCTACTGCGTGCCAAGCCCTGTTCTGTGTCAACAGGGAACAAAACAGACGCAAATTCCAACTCCTGCCTTCCTGGAGCAGTCCCTCGGGCTCGGGGCCAGTGGGCAGGAGGTCCTAGATGACAAACCTAATAAATAAGCAAACGACCTAGGAGGTTAGAAGTTGATACCTTCTATGCAGTAAAATAGGAAAACGGAACAGGGTAAGAGGGAAGAGAGACAGAGACAAAAGGGAAGAAAGGGAGAGATCCACACGATTATTTTTTAAATATACCTTATTGAGACAGGGTCTCTCTCTGTCACCCAGGCTGGAGAGCAGTGGCACCATCACAGGTCACTGCAGCCGGGAACTCCTGGGCTCACGCGATGCTCTCGCCTTAGCCTTCGAGTAGCTGGGACCACAGGTGTGTGCCATCATGCCCAGCTATTAAAAAAATTTTTTTTGTAATATATAATGTCTTATTTTGTTGCCCAGGCTGGTTTTGAACTCCCAGCCTCAAGCCATCCTCCTGCCTTGGCCATTCAAAGTGCTGGATTACAGGCGTGAGCCACTGTGCACAGCCAAGGCACAATTTTAAACGGTGTCTCAAGTGGTCAGGAAGCCTCCTGGAGAAAATGACATTTGAACAAAGACGTGAAGAAAGTGGAGAATATTTGGGGAAGAGCATTTCAGGCAGAGGAAGCGGCCAGGGCAGAGGCCCACGGTGAGACTGTGCTAGCATGTTACTAGCTTTTAGTTTTAAAAAGTGCAAAATAATATCCATTTACCGTGGGAAAATTAGACATTAGAAAAGAAAAATATCACTTCTTATCCCTCCACCCAGAAAAAACCGGTAACATGGTGATATATATTTTTGTGGTCTCTTTTAAGCATACACACATACATAGATGTGTGTGTGTGTATATATATATATATATATATATATATTATATACTTTTTTTTACAAGAATTGGGATCATACGATATATACGGTTTCATAACCACGTATTCGTGTAATAATATAACAAGGCAATCATTCCACGTCAATAACTGTTGATCCACATCATTACTGAAATGGTTGTAGATTGTTCCATCTCACAGATGTCTCAGATTTTATCCAACCATTTCCCTACTAATGGGCATTTCGGCGATTTCTCCAATTATAAATGGTGAGGCAGCCACCGTTCTTGTAGCATTTCTGCACCGTCTGAGTATCCAGTGATTTCCTTAGAGTGCACTTCTAGAGTGGAAATGTTAGAGCAAAGGCTGTTCACTCTCACTGTGAGCCTGTGTGTTTCCAGGAGACGTGTGGGAGGGCTTCAGGGGGACCCCACAGCGGCCTGAGAACGTTCCCCTCGGCAGGAAATCACGTTTGCTGAGGAGAAACGCATACCCCACATTGACAGGGCGTGTCTCCGAGGGCGGGTTGTTTGGATAATTTTAATTTTCTTCTTTCTTCATTTCTATATTAAATTTTCCATATTGGACATGCATTGCTTTTTTGTATTAATTTTTCTAACAAAAGCAATTTTTCTTGTGATAAAAACGAAACACAAGAGAAGCACGTACAGTAGAAGGAAAAGGACCGCATCTCCCAGAAGCTGCCGGGCTTCGTTTTGTGTGTTCACCTTCTAGAAAGGGTTCCACCCCTGTATAAGTTTTGTTACGGGAATTTTCCCTCAATAGGAAAAAAGTAAAAATAAATAAATAATAAAAATAAAAATTTAAATAAAATTAGTGTCACATTACACATTAAAACAGCCTCCAAAAGGGCTCATTTGAAACTGATTTCTGGGCCAGGCATGGTGGCTCACGCCTGTAATCCCAGCACTTTGGGAGGCTGAGGTGGGCGGATCACCCGAGGTCAGGAGTTTGAGACCAGCCTGGAAACATGGAGAAACCTCATCTCTACTAAAAATACAAAATTAGCCGGGCATGGTGGCACATGTCTGTAATCCCAGCTACTTGGGAGGCTGAGGCAGGAGAATCGCTTGAACCTGGGAGGCAGAGGTTGCAGTGAGCCGGGATCACGCCATTGTACTCCAGCCTGGGCAACAAGAGCAAAACTTGTCTTAAAAACAAACAAAACAAAAAAACTACCTGATTTCTGTTCCTTGCTTTCTTCTCTCTCTCTTTTTTTAAAAAAATTATTAATATTTGATTCTTTTATAGAGACAGGGTCTTGCCACTTTGCCCAGGCTGGTCTCAAACTCTTGGGGTCAAGTGATCCCCCAGTCCCAGCCTCCCAAAGTGTTGGGATTACAGGCGTGAGCCACTGCACCGGGCCCTTGGTTTCTTCCCTTAACAAGGCAGTGGTCCCTTGGTTTAGGTGGGGGATTGGCTCTGGGACCCCTTTGTATACCAAAATCCTTGCATACTCAAGTCCTGCAGTCAGCTAGAGAAGACTCCACGAGTAAGTGGATCTGCATAGTTCAAACCTGCTGCTCACATGTCAGCTGCATACCTTAGAAACTGTTCCCTATGGGGGGGTACATGGGCTGCCTTGTTCTTTTCTATTTTATTTTATTTTTGGAGACAGGGTCTTGCTCTGCCACTGAGGCTTCAGTGCAGTGCTGTGACCATAGCTCACTGCAGCCTCGACCTCCTGGGCTCAAGTGATCCTCCTGCCTCAGCCTCCGGAGTGGCTGGGACCACAGGCACATGCCACCATGACTCATTTTTTTATTTTCTTTTACTGTTAGAGACAGGGTCTCATATGTTGCTCAGGCTGGTCTCGAGCTCCAAGCCTCGAGCAATCCTCCCACCTCGGCCTCCCAAAGTGCTGGGATCACAGGCGTGAGCCACCATGCCCAGCCTGCCTTGTTCTTTTGAATTGCTACAGCAATTTTCATTATGCAGAGGTCATGTGAATTATTTATTCAATCCCCTGTGAATGGATAGATGGGTTGTGTTGCCTTTAAAACAACGATTCTCCATGGTCTGGTGCATGATGAGGGCAGGACTGGGCTAAGCAGGGTCGAGAGGGCCCACGGCCTCCGTCAGGCTCTCCTCTCAGCTGCAGGACTACAGCAGCTCAACTAGCCTCTCAGAGCCTCAGTTTCCACATCTGCCAAATGGGTACAATCATAGTACCCACTTCACAGTATTGTGAAGATTAAGTGGCCAGTGTTTACAACTGTGTGGCACAGGACTCGGCACATTGTAGATTCTCAGGAAATTGTACTAATATTTCTGGTGGGTATTTCTATCATCATTTCATTTCCATGAGTGACTAGCTTGAGTAAAGTCCAACTGTACCCATTTTACAGGCAAGGAAGCTGAAGAAAAGGGCTACACACCAGCCAGGTCACCTCACCCATAACCCATGCATGGCAAAGAACCTGCCCAGGGCTGTACCATGTTTCCCAGCCCACTAGTGTCTCCCTCGGTGTCCTTCCTTGCCTGATGAAAGACTGAGACCCCAGAGGATCAGGTTGGGAGCTGAGACCTTGGGCCCGTCCCTGACTGCTCTGAGCCACCCACTACTTCACGTACAGAGGAGGGCTTCAGATGAGCATGCCTCTGCCCTCTCAGCCTGAGATCCCACCATGACCGACCCAAAACATCGGCCTCCTCTAGAGTGTCAATGTCATGTCCTCACTTGGGAACTCCTCGCTCTCCTGGGGCTGGAGCAGAAGAGTATTGGGGCGGGCCCCTCTGTTGCTTGGCTCTGTGGGTGCACAAATGACCTTG